GCATAGCGCAATTCATACACCAGTGCTTTACAGAATAAGAAATACATTAAAATTACAAAACAAACAAATTATAACATAAATAATCATCATAAAATTAACCTTTAAAAAGAAGAGAGAAGAGTACAGAGTAAATACTCCCTGCTTGTTTACATGGAGTTAATGCTCCATAATACAACCATAAACTTATCTATCTTACATTTGTTCTCTTACAGATCTTTGATTTTAAAAAAAACAAAACAAAAATGCATTATTACTAGAGGTGTAACGATATCCAAGTCTTACGATATGATATCATCACAGTATGAACCTCATGGTGTGATATTTATTCCGATGTCGTGGGAAAGGTCATGATATAGTGGGGAGGCTCATGATCACGATGTAACAAAATCCAAATCTCTTACGATATTTACGCTATATTTTCACGATATACATCTGACAGTTCGATATTTATTGCAATATGTTGTAGAGGGCAACAAAATTGTTAATATGCTACATTTTCATCTTAAAATGCCTTGACAAGAACTTAAAAGTGCTTAGAACTGTTATTTCTTCATGTAGTTTGCACTGAAATGGAGCAAAGGGTCATGGTCTGTGTAGTTCCCTCTGTCTTTTTTTTAGCTATTGCTGCACCATATCTCTTAATTTAAGCAAAGAGACTTGTAATTTGATATATTGTGATGGTCCACAATATTATTGTGAGAACTTTGATGATACGATATCACAATATTTTGGTTATTGTTACATCCCTAATTATTACAGTGAGTGGGGTTGCCTCTCCACAGATCTGGCTTGCAACTTGGCCTGGAGGCTTCACCATCTTGACTCCATGGAGATAGATAGGAGGAGATTAAGTTTAATGTCACAGTGTGGAACATGCATGCAAAGTAAAATTATCTAAACAGAACCTGCAAGTCAGTGCATCTTTACTACAATATTGCCTCCAGGTGACAAAAATACTTTACTGAGTTTGTGCAAATTTACAAAAATAGTATATTGTCAGAGGAATATGTGATTTTGTTAAAGATGACTTTACTATAAATATGTATGCTTCAAACTGACACTCCCCGATTGTTAATGTTACTACTGGAGAATGCAGTAGAGTCAGTGAAAAATAGTCGTCACTGTTTACGAGTGAAAAGTGAAAGTCTTTTTAAACCTATGACCACAATTGACTCTATTTAAGCTGTCACACACTGGAGCCTCAAATTACACAACATGAGGAAAAATACAGCAGATTTAAACCAAACAGTTAAGCTGAAATTTCTGCTACCTGTTTTACTGCTCGTGCTTTTGTAATGCCACTATATATAAATAAGTTATAGGTCACTCAAAGGTCTTATGTGCAAATTGATTCTTGTGAGCTTTAAGCCATGTTTGAATGCTGTTGCCTCTTCGAAAACCCAGAGTAGTGTTTTGTTTCATTCACACAGACTTGAGTAATCTTTTATTATTAGTGTGTCTGCATCTCCAAACCTCAATACCATATGCTCTGTTCCAACTTGTGATGTCATGTAGTGGTAGTTTTCAAGTTAACAGCTACCTTTTTACCTTTAATTCATTAGAGATTAGAAGCTCCAAGGCTTAAATTGTCCAAGTGATTCTAGTTAAAGTGTATGGAGCACTTCTGTATTACCACGTGGCGTCACAAGAAGGAACAGAGGATTTTGAGCTTTGAAGATGTAGACATACTAATAATAAAGGATTACTCAGACATCTGTGAATGAAACAAAACACAACTCTGGGTATGTTTTCAAAGAGGTAACAGCATTTTCCTTTTAGAGAGAAGAAGTCAGCCTAAATATTCAGGGTTTGTGTTAAACGTGTGAATGAAACAAAACACAAAGACTAAAGACTTTTTTCAAAGACAGGTGCTTCGCAAGAGATTTTTTTGGGGTCGCCTTGGCTTGTCATGATCTGCATGCAGGTTGAAGACATGTTTTTTTTAATAATTTCTAATCTTTTTGTGATTACTTTATTGACTGTTTTTGTTCCAGTATTGCTGGTTCAATTGAAAGTTGAAAAGAAAAAGAAATGGGCTAAAATTAATGTCCAAATAGGGGACTTATGTATCCTTCCATTGCTGGTTCAATTACTGTTTTTCATTGTTCAAAACTTGAGTAATACTAACTGTTCAGAGAGGCACGATCACTCAGTCATAATAAAATATCCTCATTAATGTTCAATAATGGTCAACTTTTATTTTGTGATTTACGAATATTGTCCATTGACTTGCGTCGCAAAGCTTTGTGACTTTTAAAATATGGATCCCCTGAAAAAAGTTTGGTAAACACTGAACTTTTAAACTCTTTAGTAGTTAGTCGTAGTCTTTATAAAGTGTGGCAGATGTTTATTTCACAGACTACAGCTCATATTTTATCATAGGTGTAATATTACAAAAATGAAAAAAAATCTCTGCTAGTGCAAATAAACAGTAGATGTGAATTATGACATATTATGATATTTATTTAGCCTGAAAAACTAATATTCCACCCTGTGCTTGTGTCCCCTACGGCAGAGAGGGGCTATCGCAGACGTGCTAATAACTGCAGGATGTTGTGAGGATTTGGGGTTTGTGTTACATTATCACCTGTCAGTCTGTGTCAGAGCCTCGGAGCTACCGTATGTTCAAAACTACGGGTCATAATAAGCAAAGGAGAGGGCAACGTGGATATAAATTACATTATTAGGAGACATCTGGGCAGGTTGTCAGTGTCACTAGGGTTTCTTGTCACACTTGTCCGAGTAAATCTTTGGAGTAAAAATATAGAGAGGCTGGCTGCAGGATGTTGTAAGGATTGCGTTACGTTATCACCTGTCTCTCTGTCTATCTGTGTGTGTGGGGGTCCTGGACGTCACAGAGACAGCTTCATAAACACATCAGACTCGAGGGGTTGAAAGAGGATACAAAAATGGTTTCTACATTGACTGGTTTTTAAAATTTGTCAACTAATTATTTTTGGTTATAAGGATGTGTAAGGACAACACACTTTTTCCTCATATCAGTCAAGCTCAGTATTTTGATTCGATTTATATTAGTCATATTTAACACAACTAAAATAGAGGTCAATATTTACTGAACATAAACAATACTTTCTACTTACTATAATACTTTAATAATTTAACTCAATGTCAAATTTCTCCTTACAAATAGGGGTGTGCAAAAATATTGAAATATCGTATAGTTTAATGTGATGATACAGTATCGATATCGTGAGCTGCTGTATCGATATATCAGCAAGAGTATTTTTTTATATAGTTTACTAAATTATTTTATTACAGCCCTACAGTTTTGTTGTTTGTTAGAGGAAGGAAGCTCATTTATGCGACACATTTGACATTTTGATGATTAAAATGGGTGAGTTTCATATTCACTTTGCACAAGAAGTGGTTCAACAAAGACTTTCAGTAGCACAGACATGATTTATCCTTTATTTTTATTGAATCGTATCGTATTCAATATATAATTTTGAATCTTATCGAATAGAAAGCTCACTGTATTACGATATGTGTCGTCTTGTGGCCAATGTATCGAGATATGTATTCTATCGCCAAATTCTGAATGATACCCAGCTCTACTTACAAAGCCTGTACTGTTATCCAAATGACGTTTCACTGACAGCGGATACACTGACGTTTAGAACTGACAGAATGTCAAAAATGTGATTAATTGCCTGGACGTAGTCACAAATATTGAACCTGCCCCATCTCCATTTTCAGCGGGGCTATAGGATGTCATGATATCATCTGAGACCATTTTGACACTTGAAAGATGTTCCCTGGATGTTGTCATGGTAGCAGCACGATTGTGACATCTGCTGCCGCATTTGACCGACACTGTATACATTAAATATTCATTCAGGATTATTCGAAGGTGTGGTAAAGTGCTTGGAGCTAGTTTATGTTAAAAACTATGAGTCACATAAGCAAGCCGCAGGATTTCAGTGCTGGAATTGCCAATCTCTGCTGAACTAAAGGTAAAAGGTAGCTGTTAACTGCAGACAGACTAATAATAAAATATGTAGACAGATTAATAAAAGATTACTCAAATGTGTGAATGAAATAAAACACAACTCTGGGTATATTTTTGAGGATTATAAAATGGGTTTTAATATTATAATATTGGTTAAAACTCACAAAGATCCATTCTGTGTAATATAGGACCTTTAAATGACATTATTAGGAGAGATCTGGGTAGGCACTTGGTTGTCACTGGGGGTAGTTTTCCCCCTTATCATATTTAGTGAGGGCGCATTTGAAATTTTGAGTTAAAATATTCAGTAACCGGATCTAAATTCACCTGTTCAAATTACCATAAATTTATTCAGCATTGCGGTGAGAAGACATGCCTCAAATTTCTCTCCTAACATGAGCGAAGCAGTTATTAAAATTCTTTCACAGGTTTTCCAAATGTTGGTGATAAAATAATACTACTTTTTATGAACCAGGCAACGCTTCCAAGTATTTTCATATTAAAAATGCACAACACAGCATTATTCAAGTTTGGTTCCAGTGAATTTTTGTTCATAGTTGCCGTTTTTAGCATTTTTCACCATTCAAAAGTAAAAAATATTAAGTGTAGAATAGCTAATTGCTATGGCAACAGTGATATTTTTGATAGTTGGACAAATATAATGAGCTGAGTGATACAGATCTTTATTAATAGGTTTCTACTTCCTGTTATAAGCAACAATTGGATGACTTTTTCCCCATTCAAAGGATATAATTTTAGTTTCAAATTGTTAATCAGTATAGTAACGGTCCTGTTTTCGCATAGATATGAAATCCATAGTTGAGTTGATTGAGTCGCATTTGTCACTTCTTAGATTTGTCACTTTTCTTAGATTAGCAAGCAAAAGGGGAGGATTTAATTTCCAAGCCAAATGAGCTTTAGTTACAAGACAAAGTGAGTTTCTAAAAGATTAAATAATCACGCAGTATTTAAATTTCCATTGCAGTTTGATTGATTTGACTCTGATGTCTTGTGCTCCATTTGTGTCCAGGGAGCAGCCGATCTACACGACCCGGGCCCATGTCTTCCAGATTGACCCCACCACCAAAAAGAACTGGGTCCCTGCGAGCAAACAGGCGGTGACCGTCTCCTACTTCTACGACAGCACCAGGAACAGCTACCGCATCATCAGCGTCGACGGGTCCAAGGTACGAAATGTTTAAAATGTAAATATATCACACATTATGGTCTTTATTACAAATTTAAAACAGAATCTGAATTAATTTGTCATTTCTGTCTAAAAAATACATAGCAACAAAACACTGTACCGTTTTACATCAAGGTCAAGGTTATCAGCAGCAGAAGTCTTTAAGAACTACCTCCACCTTCCCCATTTTCTTAAGAGCTTTCCAAGTCAGAGCTATTTTGTAAGGTGCATTAGTGACTCAAATATGTCACACGCTATGATATTTATTACATGTTAGTGGAGAGGTTCACAGTTCCTTCGGTCTTCTATGCATTCATTAATATTATCATACTTGAAAATAAACTGTTCTTGACTGCACTCACATGATGTCGCAAAGGATCATCGTCTAAGTGGTCTGTGTATAATATTGTGGGCCTTTTTAATACTCTAAGTAATTTTCCTTGTAATTTGTCAGTATGAGTGTCTTATGGCGAAAGGAGAAATTCAATTTGTCAACTGGGCAAAACGTTTCGCAACTCATCCAAGCCTGCTTCTTTAGTTCTGGTCAGACGCTGGTGGACTCTGCCTCATATCTGCCTGAAGGGAGGAGCTAACTACATTGAAATTATTCTGAAACTAACACAGCTATTCAGAGTAATTTCATTGTAGTTAGCTCCTCCCTTCAGGCAGATAAAAAGCAGTGTCCACCAACATTCTGACCAGAACTGAAGAAGGGAAATGTATTCGACATAAATAAACTTTTGTCCAGCTGTAATTGATAAATCTCCTTTTGCCATGGATTCTACCTGGACGACTGAGGGATTTTACACACATCTATGAGTGTCTTACAGAATTGCATCCCATTATAACTTGTTATAATTATGTAAAACATATTGATGCTTGATGTATTTATTGTAAATTCAGTACTTTAATGATTTTAACAGGCCTGTATGAAAAGATTTGGTCAACATGTTTAAATTACTTATTTCGCTTTTCACTTTTATAAAACAGGAGACGTTCATTTACTCAGTCTAACTTGAAGTATCTAAAGAAATAGTTCTGATGTAAATAAGGCTGTTAATAGGTTTAAGGTGGGTTGTATGTATTGTAGAGAGAAATTCAAGTTAATTTACTCTCCTTTGTGTCTCAGTCAAAGGTCTCCGTGAAGTTTAACAGGAGGACTGGTCAGATAGGGTCAGGAGATCTGTGTCAGGGCACTTCGAGGAGAGAGTATAATTTTTAAAACCACTTGAAATTAGTTTAAACGCACTGATGCTAATTTATTCTCAAATATTTGTATACTAAAAATGAGCATAACACTAGACTAGACTCGAGTGACATAAACCTGAATATTGGCAATGATTTCTGACTTGATTTCTGTTTACCCACTCTTTTTATGCCTCTAATACTGAGGGGATATTTGGGTAAACAGTTCTTGAAGTGTGTAATGTCTGATTACTGTGGATTTGTGATGGATTTGTCAGAACAAGTGCAGTTAATCACGTGTGAATGAACCAGCAGCTCAGTGGAGTCAGTGTTTCCATGGAGATGTGTAGAGTTTTACAGCAGGTCCGTCTGACTGGCTCATGGTTGAGAAAGAAAAACACAAACTACTGTGCAACTGGTACCAGGTTTAGAGGTGTTTTCTTAATGAGTCAGATCTGTTTGAAATATGAGCACAAAATGAAGTGAGACTTGTTCTTGTCTCTTATGAATTTTAGTTTGCTGAGCTCAATCCTGTGTCTAGAAATTCTGGTTCTGAAGTAAAACTCACATTCATTTTTTCCTGTAGACTTGACATGAAGATAATGAGAAATAAAATAAAAATAAAAATTACTAGGGGTGTAACGATATCCAAATCTCACAATACAATATCGTCACGGTATGAATCTCACGGTATAATATTTCTTGCGATATTTTGTGGAGGCTAACAAAACTGTGAAAAAAACACTTTTTCCTCTTAAAATGCCTTAACAAGACAAAGAGCTGAGACTTATAAGTGCTTTGAACTGTTATTTCTTCATGTAGTCTGCATTGATATGGACCAAAGGATCATGGTCTATGTAGTTCCCTCTCTCATTTTTTAGCTATTAATGTACCAGAACTCTTAATTTAAGCAAATAGACTTGTAATTCGATATACTGTGATGGTCCACGGTATTATTGTGAGAACTTTGACGATACGATATCATGATATTTCGATTATTGTTACATCCCTAGTGATTACATTTATTGACTTCTTATGGCTTAACTTTTATTTTATTGTAAGTTATTTGGACTGTTTTTTTTGTATCTTGTGGTCAGTGTTTCCCATTAATACGGGATACTATGGCATATATCAGCATAACAAAATTATACTTTGTTATAAACTTATAAAAGAGACTACAGTGATCAAAAAAATCAACAACACTGGTTAAAATGTAAATATAGGCAGAAATGATTTAGATGAAATTGTTTTAAAAAGTGTGCCACCAAAATCTTTGGGAAACACTGGAGATATCCGTTAGATCAACACGACAACTAATGATGACGTTAAATTGGTCAACTTGTACTTGTTTAGAAAAAGACTGAGCTGCACTGCCACAAAAAATGGTTTCTATCACAAAAGCGAGTAGCATACAAATCCTACATCCACTTGATTTGGCTGCAGTGCAATAAAGAACCATATGCCCAAAAATCCGATCAAACAGTAGCAGAATCTGGCCTCTCCTCAGTCTGTGTTTTTCCGGTGGCAGTTGTAGGCGTAAAGTGCTGAACATCATAAAACTCTGAGTCACATGAAATAGATGTTAATATAATCCTGTACATGTGTGTGGAGTCTCCAAGAACAGAGCGCTCTGCTGTGCCCAGTGTGTGACAGACCGCCAACTCAGACCGCCAACTCACATCGCCACGATTCTGAAGTCATGATGAAGGCATGGACAGATGATTCAGCACTTTTAGATGCCACCAATGCTCATGTGCACAGACAAGAACAGGGATGTAATATAATGTGATGAGACATTTGGTTTTTTTAAGAGAACTACTGTGCAGGGGGGAGTAATATGCCAAAAAATAAAAATAATAATGACTAATAGGAGATACGGGTGGGGAAATCCTGTTAATGCACCAGTGTATTTGTGATTTTTATCACCATATCAACTTTTTAGAGCTTTCGACCCTGGTATAACATTGTTCCCTTGTCAAAAACATCCCTGATTTTAGATGTCATCCACACATATTTAATTCATTTAGTGAGCTGTCCCTGTTCACGTGTAGCAGAGTTGAACTGAAGTCAACTTTATGCAAATGCGAAGCAGCGACAGTCGCTCAGTGCACACCTTTTGACAGGCACATGCGGGGCTTTGGTTGAGGCACTTAACGCACTCCTAATTTCCCACCTGTGGTTAACTTCCTGTTGAGGGCCAAACTTAGTGCAGGAAATAGTTTTTGTCATTCTTGGTGTGAGTGCGGTGACATGCTTAGATGTCAAATTCTTTCCAACGCTCACCCCACAGGCCTACGTCATCCACACACGTCAATTCCCCATAAATATACAACAAAAAACAAACGTGATACAAAACTCTGTGCTACAAGTCCATAAACCTGATGTGATGTGCAGTACTGATATGCTTTAGCAGGATGGATGTCAGTTGTGTTGTGATACTGCTCTGAAGGGGGGGAAACTTAGCGCAGAGAGCAAAAGGAGGTGGAACTCAGAGCATCAGAAACCAAGGATTAAACTTATAAAACATCTAAATCTAAAATCTAAAACAATAAAAGGTAACATAGTGATCTAAACATGTTTTGTGTTAGCAGTTAATAACCCATAGAAGTAAAATAAGCCCCTCGTTAAAAGGCTCTGGATTAATCCCAGAAAGTAAAAATGTTAAATAATCAACTGAAGATTAAGTGGGTAATTGGTGAGGATAGCAGTCGTATCCCCTGTGGAGACAAACCTGCGTCACTAAACATAAAACAGTTTGTCCTTGTGGAGTTGGCAGTGTCACACGGGACACACATTTCTCTGTGTATCACACCTCAGTCTGATCAGCAAACACATTACTTTACATTGCTATTCAACATAAAGTGACTCAGTGGTGATAATGGCCTTCCATGCGCAATATATGAGATCTTTGTAAAGGTGCACTGTGTTACTTCTGGTGAGAGGTCTGCTAACTGCTTGTCCCTATGGAGATATTATTTCTTTTTTTGGGATGTTTTACAGCAGGATGTCCTACCAGTTTCCATGTAGCCCATCAAGGGATTTCTAAATTATCCGTATTGAGCTGAATAACTAAAATGTTGATGCCTGGCTTTGTGCACTAAGAAATGTATAATGGTTTATGTTTTATCTATGTCATCTAACTGTACTGCACCTCATCTCAATCTCAGTCAGTTCTTGACACCTCTAAAATGAGTAGCTCTGGCATTTTGGTTTCGTACAGGAGCTCACTGGAGGAAAAAGGTTTGAGACCTCTGTTCTAGAGCATGGCATTACACATATCTATCTAGCATTTATTCAATTAGATGAAAAACATGTATTCTTGCTGTGAGTGGCTTCACCTTTGCACACCTGACTTGTAATTTGGCCTATTGGCATCATCTACATGTCTCATTGTAAAATTAAAGTTGAATGCAATAACAACTCCATGGAGACAAGCAGGTGACAGATCCTCCACCAGAAAAGTGCGCCTTTAAGAAAATAAAGTGTAAAGCTTGAATTTTCTCAGCTTCTGGTTGTTTTCTTTGAGCTTTTGTCATGTGACTCTTGTTTCGTGACAACCAGTTATTCAGCTGTCAGAGAGAAGTGCTCAGGAGGCAGTGGTTCACAGTAGCTGAGTGGTTCTGGTTAGCATCCTGCTTTTTAAAGAGCCTGTAGAAGGTTCACTATTTGAGTTATCTGACCATCAGTTATGGAGTGTTGTGTTTACACCTGCATACATGCTTCTTGGAAACATTACGTTGACTTAATTCATTTTCTGGAGACTGATCCTAACCTTAACCTTAATAGTCACTACTTGCCATAAGCTTAACCTGAACCATATCCTTAACATGTTTCAAACAAATTTTAAAACTGGCCTCTTTATCCTTCACCTTCTCCCTCTTTTTTTCCCTCTATGTTGTGTCTCTCCTCTCTCCTCTGTCACCCTGACTGTGCAGATTCCTCAACCCTCTTTTTTGCTCTTGCTCCTTCTCTCAGTCCTCTCTACGTCTCTCCTCCTCTTCCCTCTTTCATCTTTCTCTCCCGCTCCGTTGTATCGCCCTCTCTGTTTCTCCCGCTCTCCTTTCTCACCCTCTCTCCTCTCTGACCCTGACTGTGCAGATTCCTCAGACTCATAACAGATCCTTATTTCCCACAGAGGCTTTACAGTTTGTTCTGGGCCTTAAACTGTCCACACGAGTCCTGACTGACCACACAGCTGCTCCTGTCACTCCTCTTCCCGTAGCGTCTCTCACTCTTACCCTCCTTCTCTCACTCCCATCTCTGTTTCTCCTCTGCCTCTTGTCTCGCTCTTTCTGCCTTTCTGTCCTTCTCTTTCTTGTCATCCAGTCACTCCCCCTCTGCACTTTTTCATTCTGTTCGGCCCATAGACCTAAAGAAGTGGACTTAATAGCAAAATAAAAACACCAGAATCATGTAGAGATAACATTTTAAAACCAAAATGACATGTCTGACAGCAGCAGTTTCGGAGAGGGGCAACATTTTTTCAATAAAAAGTGAATTGAAACCAGAGTTGATGGACCCAGAAGCATGCCCATGCTTACTCTATTTCTCCCTCTCACCTCTCTCAGTCCTTTTCTCTCTCCTCCATCCTGTCACTTAGTCATGCTGTAGTGGGGGCGTTCACTCATCCCACTCTCTCACCAGGCCTCAGAGCAGCTCCCGTCGCTGCCCACGTCACCTCTGTGTCCGCACTGATCAGACAAAGGAACGCACCCATTTATCTGACTCCGGGTTTCATAAAAGACCCTTAATCATCTCTAACTACACAAGTACTTGTTTCATAATGACATATTTACATTGCAATTTGTCATAACAATTCAGTAGTGGGCAAAAGCAACGTATGCAATAGTATATGATGTAGTGTTTGCAATTTATTTTTTAAACACTGAACATGATATAACAGCTACTTAATAATACTTTTCCTTATAGTGCACATTTGCGTTTCACTTTTGTAACTATGATTTTATGTTATGATGCCAAATTAATATAGCAAAGGCCTTAAAAAGTTATTTATATAAGTGTGGCACTTGCCTCTCAACTCTAAAATGAAATAAAGTATATAGTCAGGTTTTGTAAAACTCAATATTCTCCAGCTAAAGTAGTCCTGACCTGATCTGGAAACGGATCCCAGTATTACGTTTGACTATGTAAGAAGTATTGGAGAGAACCATCATATAAGAGCTGTTTTTGAGATGTTTTGACAAAGTTGTTCGCAGTCACAGTGTAGTTTTCAATATAGTTGTTTGTGTTTACTTGCTTTACCTCTTAGTGTTCATAATGTGTCAGTAGCAGATTATGAATAAAAATAAAAAGTGATGCTTTGGTGCTTTCAGAGTAAAAATTTACCATAAGTTGAACATGTACTAAATCAGTGTTTCTCAAACTGTGGGACTGCATCTGGTGGTACACAAGAACCCGCCATGGTTTGACTATTTGTTTTGCATAAAGAGAAATTTATTTTTAACTTATCCATTTTATCCTTTGTCCCATTTTAGACCTGTTTACTCTCATTGTAGACCTTGATTGTTTGTGAACCACTGCACTGAATAATCACACCAATAAGCTCTTTGCTATAGCTAAAGCTCTGTTAGATACAGTATCTACATTCTTTTATAAGTTTTCATAGCTTTTTGCTATTTTGTTGTTGACTGGATTTTCACCTCGCTCCTCTGCTGTCCTCACTGTGCAGCTATAACCCAGATTCACTACAACAACTCTCATTAAAGTTGCATGTTATTGTAACACTTTGTTTGTGAGAAGCAGTGAGTGCTGCTTAATATTTAACCAAAAAGATAAAGGCATTTGCCCAGACTGCCCTTTTAGACGATCTGGTCAGCTTTGTTTTGATGACGAAGTGGAACATAACAACAGAGGCTGGTGCATTGTCAGACTTCAAGGTTTGGTTTCAATAAACTATAAACAAAAGGTTGTAGGTGAATCAGTTCAATTCAGAACTGAACCACTTATTTAACATTATGTCATGTAATAATAATAATGCCTTAATTTACAGGCTTGTTGAAGTCTTTCAAAAGCTTGTCATCATTATTCATTCACTCCTCACTTCATGGTCGTAAGATACTATTGTAGTCACAGCTTCCTTGGGGCAGACTGACAGAAATGAGGCAGCCAATCTGTGCCATCGGCCCCTCCGACCACCACCAACACGCACACATACACCACATTCACACAAGGCAAGGTGGGTGAAGTGTCTTGCCTAAGGACACAACAATGTTATTGCATTGCCTGGAATGTTACAGAATATGGCATTAAACTTACCTACCTTGCATTTATTCAATTTCAGGTGTTTTTATTGCTCAAAAACACAAAATTCTAACTGTGAGCCTTTCCTCAACTCTGACCTTTTACTAACACCATTTACTTGTCTCCATGGAGATAAAATTCCATACCACGGAGCATTTGAGGCAAATCAATAGCCTCTTTATAGAGGTAAGCTGTTGAAAAGATAGACAGTGCACGTCTACACCATAATTAATTCCTGACTTCTTCGTTGACAGATGTCGTTGAGTGGAAGGACATGAGTCTGTCAGATCCTGAGATCTCTAAATGCAGACCCGTGTTACTTCAGCTCGCTCTATAATTACCCTGTGCGAATTGTTCGTAATTGTCTGTAATCTATGTTCGCACTTGCCCTGTGTTTTTGTGAGTTGTGCTCTTATGTGCCTTTGTGAGTTTTAAGAGCTGTACACACATGTTTAACACACAAACCCTGCATAGTTAGGTTGAGAAAACACTCTTTCCACCTTTTGATGTCATGTGGTAATACAGCAAGTGCTCTACTGTGTTTTTAAAGTCCATAAACTTTGACTAGAATCATTTGGATAAGTTTAGCACTGGAATTCCCAATCTCTAGAAGTCAGCAAGTCACAATAGTTTTGATAAATCTTTGCAGCCCTGAAGTTCTACCGTACAACCTGTCTAAATTTACTGTAGACGTTTCTATTGGCCAACGCTGAAGCTACACATTTAGACTGTAGCACATGTCACTGGCAGCACATGCTCTGAATAGTTACAACAGGTGAGCGTCCTGCTGTAGAGATGTGGCATTTCAGAGCTTTGGGTCAGTGGGTCATGCAGCACTGGAGACGAAACATTAAACAGTGTGTTTGTTGCATTTCTCTGGATATGTCATTGCTCTGCCTGGAATTTTCCACAGTATGAAAGGAAACAGCTCTACCTTACATTTATTGAATTACAGGTGCTTTTTTTTTTTTTTTTAGTTCAGAAATATATAGAAAAATGGGCATTCTGACTGTGAGTGGGGTTGCCTCTCCACAGATCTGACCTGTAACTTGGTCTGGTATCCATGAAGGTAGAAAGGGTTAATACCATACTATGAAACATTCCAGACAAAGCAATAACAACTTCACTGACGAACCCTCCACCTGAAAAATTACACAATGCACCGTTTAAGCATTGACATTGTACCGGGGTTGTAAGATTGATCAAAATAAAGATCATAAAATCACATGGCCACCATTAAGATGACAATAGTAGTTACATAATTTCCTCTGAAAATAAGAAAATATCCAGTCGTCTAATTATAAAAATGGAAAAATACAAAAATGTAGACCTCTACAAATATGTTCTGTAGGGTCAAACACCTGGACATGTTAAAAATGTCCCCTTTGTGACCAGATTCTGACCAGTAAAACATAAATCTAATCACAATTGCAATGCTTGTCCGATTGAATGCTGTTAGATACTTTATCCAAAATTCGACCCAGTCCAAACTATCAAACATGTTTCTTTTTTTCTTACTTGTAACAAATTAAAACTAAACTGACTCTGTGGCACTAAAGATCCCCTTTTTAGTCTTCATTAATCTTTGACTTTTATTTCAGAGATCTCTGTACATTTCTACCTGGGATAGAATAAGATCTTGTGCCATAAGTTTTGTAAGATCAAATTAACACCAATCATTAACCAATACAGTTACAAGTTACATTGTAGAAGAGACCAAGAGAATAGAAAGCTATGTTTTATGTTTAGATTTTATTTATTTTTTGTCATGATGATTATGCTTGGGCATGGAAAGCCTTTCCACACAGAAGGACTGCAGGACGACTGTGTTTTTGAATCATCACCCAGATTATTCATCAGTATTCTTTTAACAAACGTATTTGTCTCCTTTTTATTACCATGTCCAGGTGATCATCAACAGCACCATCACTCCAAACATGACGTTCACAAAGACCTCACAGAAGTTCGGGCAGTGGGCGGACAGTCGAGCCAACACAGTGTTTGGACTGGGCTTCTCCTCAGAGCAGCAGCTGTCCAAGGTCAGACCAGAGCACAACATCACTAATCCACTTTCAAACATCAGGTTTTACTGTCAAAATATACAGTTTTTATTGGTTTCTGCTTACTATCAACTGCGACATTTTGACATTTTCCCCATTCAAAGGATATATTATTTTGTTTTAAATTGTTGGCAATGGACCTAATTTTTTCAGATGAATGAATCAGAATCTTTTCAACATATTGATTAATCACAATGTTTAATACAATTTCAATGTTTTCTTCTTAAAAACAATTTTATATGCCCTTGAATTATAATTTCGCAAACATAAACAAAACAGACTGAATTAATTGCATGTCACCTGCAGGATTCATATTCCACGTATAAAGTTAAAACCATGCTTGTATTGGCTGTTTATCATTAAGAAGTTTCCGATACGATACATACCTCAATACACAGGCCACCATATGATACATATCTCAATACAGTGTACTTTCAATTAGATACGATATATTTCGAATCGATTCCATACAGTTCAATAAAAAAATAATGGCTAAATGATGGCTGTGATACTAAAATTCTTTGTTTAAACCACTTCTTGAGCAAAGTTCATATGAAACACATACATTTTATTAATCAAAACAGTGAAAATGTCAAATGTGTCACATAAACAAGTTTCCTTCCACTAAACAAGCAACAAAACTGTAGCTCTGTATCAAAAATAATTTAGTAAAATGTACAAAAAAATCCTCTTGGCGATATATCAATACAGCAGTTCCCCATATTGATACTGTATCATCAGCTTAAATGATACAATATACTGATAGTTCAATATTTTTGGACACCTCTAATAGCACAAAAAAGGAACAACATTTACATGGAGTCAGGTCTTTTATTTTTCATCTAAAAAGTTATGTGGTAGAGCTTTCATCACTTTTAATCATAATTTCACAAACATACCGTAAGCAAAACAAACTTAAAAGTTTTATTTATTTCATTTATTAATATTTTACTAGGTAAGTCAGTTGAGAACACCTTCTCATTTGCAATGACGACCTGGCCAAGAGGCAGGATAAAACTGCACAAGCAGAATACACTCACACATCAATCATAACATTTGAAATGGTGGATAGAAACATGAGACCGTGAAACATTTTCAGATTAAAGATATGAAAGTGTTAAAAGGCAGTGATCCTGTAAAATACTCTGGTTTGAGTTTCTAAAAGTGCCACTTAACAAAAAAGTCAAATTTCTTCCTCTAAACTCTTCTTCAAAGATGCTGTTCCCTGTAGACCGGTTTAAAGGACTTATTAATGACTATTTGAAGCGATTGGATCTGGAATTTAATAGAGTTGAAATTGAAAATGTAGTGATCTGTTTTGACCATGGTTGAGTAGTTTTATACTATTATGCTATGTATCTACTGAGGTAACAAAGTACTTATCTTTTCTATCTTACTTTTATCTCCTAATACTATCTGTGTCCAACTGTATTGGGGCCAAATGAAGCAATCAGACTAGGATTTCATGCAAACACCAAAATTAAAACTCTCAGTCCTGTTCGTTTCTTATCAGATAATTACATTCACAAACCCAGGCAATTTTATCTTGCATACTAATCCCTGTATTTTTGTTTCTTTTTTGTACTTTTTTAGTTTGCAGAGAAATTTCAAGAGGTAAAAGAAGCTGCCAAACTTGCCAGGGACAAATCTCAAGAGAAAGGGGAGACGATGAGCAATCACTCTCAGGCAAGTCTGTATTGTATGTGATTGAACGGCCGTCTAGCAGTCTATTGTCTGCAATGTTAAAATGATACAGGTACAATCAAATTATTATTGTTAATATGTAAATTGTGTTTCTGTGGTTGGATAAATATAGCAGAAAGAATAGATTTAGTCATGAATATGGCAGAATAAAGGCAACTGGAGAGACATCGACTGTAAGTGCAGCAGTTTTACTCCTGCACGTCTCAAAATAAATTAAGTAAATTTAATAGAAGTAGCACTCATTTTATAGCCCCAAAATGTATTTGAATTTCTCTAAAACATATATAGCATGTTAATACAGTTGTAGATTAAATGAAGGTTTTACTATGTTGATCCCTATAGTGAGCGTTTTCTGTTCCCCTCTTTTTCATATTCTTTGGACAATGTAGAACAGGGGTAGGCAATTATATTATTCATGGGGCCACATGAGAAACAGAAAATATTGTGGCTGGCCAGGCCAAAATGCGTAACGCATTTCTGCATAATGTTAATTGTACACACACATATCTTGATTTATGTATGTCATTTTGTACATTAATAAAAAAAAACACCATGCAGCTTTAGTCCATGCATGAAGTAAAATGATAAAATATGTTTATTTCAAATTATCTTAAACAGGCTGGTCAGAGTCAACCAAAGGGCTGTATGTGGCCTGGGAGCTGTGCAATGCTCTGGTCTGATGTAGACTGTCTTGATACTTTGCAGCTCATGTCATCAACGTTCCCCAGGGGGGCGTGGCCAACTGTAGGCACTGCTCTGTCTGAAGTTCTGTAACTCAAATTAGACGAAAATCTCAGTTTTATTTTAACACATTCTGACCAGAAAGTGTGGACTGAGATGGAACTACAGCAGATGAGATGATGTGTGCTGTTAAACAAGTCTCTTTCAAATCGTGCTCACCTGTTTTGTTAAAAATCAAACACCTTAACAGAACCATAAACCACTTGATGATCCTGAAAAGTATTGTTTAAATCCATTTTGTATTTTTTCTTGCGTTTTCAGACAATTTAAAACAGTTTAGGTGCTCAGTTGTGCATTGTGTGTACATCTCGTGAAAATGGTAAAGTTATTGTTGTTAATGTGTAGAGCAAGTTCAAGGGTCTATAGTCACAACATAAATGTTTTGGTGTAACATTGTTGAAAGTACTGTACACCCTGAAACAAGCTCATGCCCCCAGTGGAGAGTATTACATCATCAGATTCAGGGTCTGAAATATTCACAGTTTATAGCTTCTGTTGCAGTTTTCACAACATTAGCGACGCAGTGGGGAAGGTGAAGATTAAAATATTTTGTGTTGCTCTGTTTCTCATGCAAATGCGAAGAGACTGATTCAGTGCATTTTAAGAGTCTTAATTACAATATGCCATTTGTACAGAACAGAAGTTGCTACTGGGGCGATCAATGCTGAGGGCTTGGACTCAGTCAGGAACGTGCATTGACTGTAACTGGGCGAATTTAATGCTATATTGTGGAAAATTCCGGGCAAAGCAATATAGTCTTCACTGAATCAAGCAAATGGCAGATCCTCCACTAGAAAATTTACATAATGCAACTTTAAGACATGTATTTATTGTTATGGGCATTATTTGGCACCATCTTTAACTTATGACAAAAATACTTGCTTCTTGCATTTTCATAATATAGAAATGTATTGGCTCTCAAACTTTTCCTCCCTTTGAGACTTGGGGAAGCTTCTGTGGACACTTATGTTGTCACGATACTAAAATTTCAAACTTTGATACCAATACTCATTCTGATACAACGTTGATAATTATTAACACTTTATTTAGCCAATAGAATGTCATCTTCAGCATTAAATAATTGTACTTTCTTTTACCATGAGGTGTTATATCTGTGCAAACCCTCAGTTGTCCAAGTATAAATAATTCTTCAGTTTGTGGTCTTTGCTCAAAATCATTCTAAAGCAATTCAGAAAATTGATTGATTTTTGCCCTGTGAATGTGACTTTGTTAGTATTGATACCTGCACAAATGAGTATCTAGTTTTGATACTAGTTGTAGTATCCATTAGTATCTGATTTTCTGTAACTGAAGTTGGGTACTTTTATTAAATTTAAGCTTACGCTTACATTTAAAAACACTTAGACTGGTCAAAAATGAAGACAATATTGGTATTTTCTTATTTTTCAGAACTATTTGCGTGTCCCCCTGCATACCCTGTGTGTATCTATACTTTAATATAAATACAGGCACTAAGTGAAACCTTAACTACAAAAAATGTATTTGATTATTTGTCTCAGTTGATAATTTCATGAGTAGCACAGCATTTCATCATTATAACTACAGTAGTCATTTAAAACCACCTCACTGAGCACTGTAGTTATATGAGAGTCGCAGTCCTTCTAAAGCTCTAACCTAAAGTGAGTGAGACGTTTTTAGCTTGGTGACAATGCAGACTAATGGAGTGAATGCTGCCTCTGCTCAGTGGGAGTCTGGTGACTGCTGTTGGCACAGCTTGAATTTATGTGTCAAGTGCAGGCTTTTGAGATAAACGCTACAAAATGTTGTATTTTTAAATGTGAAATATATCCAATTCATTAGCCAGGTTACAATATTATCAAGTAGGATTTAAGAGCTCGCTACTTGCCACTATTTAAAGTGCATGTAGTTATGTTTTTGTATTTAGGTTTGGTGGGTAATATTTATTTAGTTTTACATCAATTAAGTGGCAGTTTGTGTGGAAAAAGTTGAGATGAAAAGTACAGAAATACAGCAATTAACGCTGATAATTCTTCTAATAATGTTTGCCTCTACATATTTCATAAAACCCCATCCAAAAACGCAGGAACAATTTACATGCAAGGATTTTTTTCCTGGCATTTTGAACCTTTAATTAACAAAAAAGGTGTAATCATACCGTTTCATTTGTCAAATAATAACTACTGTGTAAATTAGACAAGGTTTAGCCCATGTTAACATTTCGGTTGCTAGGTAACAGCTATGGATTTACATCTGCTGACATCTGTCCAACTCATAGACTGTATAAATGACACGCTCCAATTAGGAACTGACAGCTTCGATGAGCTTCATTTGGCTGTGGCTAAACGCTATGGCCGACATCACACTCACTTAGTCCACTTCTTTATACAGTCTATGGTTAGAGTTAGGGATGTCACAATAACCGAAATATCGTGATATCGTATCGTCAAAGTTCTCACAATAATATCGTGGACCATCACAATATATCAAATTACAAGTCTCTTTGTTTTAATTAAGAGTTATGGTGCAACAATAGCTAAAAAAAGACAGAGGGAACTACATAGACCATGATCCTTTGCTCCATTTCAGTGTAGACTACAAGAACAAATAACAATTCTAAGCATTTTAAGTCTTAGTTTTTTGGATTCAGTCTTTTCAAGGCATTTTAAGAGGAAAATATCACCATGAGGTTCATACCGTGACAATATCGTATCGTGAGACTTACTATATTATATATTGTTACACCCCTAGTCCGAGTACTAGTAAAAAAAATTATGAACTTCACCAAAATTAAAGATATGAGAAAGAAACAAGGCAAGATTGATTTGTAAAACCTTAAATATAATCAGGTTAGCTATGTTTTAGTGAAAAGTTACATGAGTACCAGTCTAACCTGCCCTATGTACTTGAAGAGTATTCAGGAGCTCGCTTCTTCACAATTTAAATGCAGGTTTTGATATGTAATTTTCAACTTCAAATTCAGCCTTTCCAGAATTTCAATTTCAGAAAGTGAACATGCCCAGAGGCTGCACCCCTGATAGCCCCTCACACCTCTGTCTCAAAGGGTCCAGATTCAGCTGTGGGTGGATTACACAGTAGGAGTTTTCAAAGTGAGCTCTGATGGCACCACGGCACAGAAAAGAGACAGGCAAAATACAGGCTCCACTGCTCCAGTGTCAGAGATGGCATCTTAAAGAGAGCCACTGCAGTGTCAGTGTCAAAGAGAAGCGACAGGGCCATTTTAAAACTCACCTTTTCATATCCACTGTAAAATGTTAAAATTGGATACATCAAAAATGCATTATGAAACTTTTCAGGTCTTATCTATCTCACATTTATTATTTGTATGTATTATTCCATTACCTTGTGTTTGTTTTGCTCATAAATGCTTTGAAAAATGAGCATTCTTACTATGAGTAGACTTGACCAGATGGTGTTACCTGCTTGTCCCCATGAAGATAGAAGTTTAAGGCGTACAAAGGAACATTCCAGACAATGTATTAATGTCTCTATGGAGACATGGTGGTGGAGGTTCTTTATTTTACTGTCAAGTAATCCAGCTGCAGTGTCTATATACTCTTTGGACTCTATTTTGCCACCGGTCTTTTCGCGAGCATAAGTGCTAACGAGGAGGCGTGTTCAGGTCAGACTGTACTCGTGGCCGCTGTGGGCTGGAGTGGGACTGTACAAGTACATGGTGATGGCATCTGAACCAAACTGTGACCGCTGTGGCATTTAAAATCACTGCCAGAGTGGGTAATGCTTGCAATCTTTGCCTCATTACCAGGCAGCAAAGAGGGCTGTGGGGAAAAGGGGAAAAAAAAAAAATATATATATATATATACGGGTACAAAAAACAGCTCAGGAGCCCCACGATGTAAGTACGCACCAGTAGAGGCACCAGGATTATAGAATTTTGGATGGACGTACGGCATCTGGACGGCGCACAAATATGTGAATGTTATGCGATTTATCATGTATTTAAAAATAAAAGAAGGGTTTTTATGCCTTGAATATGTTACACATAATGTTTTTCACTGAACTAGTTTGATATTTATTTTTACGGCTCTGGCAATGCGCTGAACGTACCACACCACGCCCTCAGTCTGTTCCACTCGATATTCAGGCACAGCACACCTCTTTTTTAGAGTTCCACGCCCCACACTTGCGCTCATGCAAAAACCAAAGGCAAGATACGACCATACATGTTAATACAATGTTATATTGTAATCACAGCAGACCTGACAATGAGATGAATCACTATACTCCGGAGCATTACAAACTAAGCTATACAATTTCCAGAGACAGACAACCTTAAAGGTGCATTGTGTAACATTTGTGGTGGAGGGCCGTCAAATGCTTTTCTCCGTAGAGATGTTATTGCTTTGTCTTGAATGTTTCACAGTGTAGCATTAAACCTTTCTATCTTCATGGAGCCCTACACCAGACCAAGTTACAGGTTAGATCTGTGGAGAGGCAACAGTCAGCATGCCTGTTTTTCTAGGTATTTTTGAGTTATAAAACCACCTGTAATTTAATAAATGTAAGGTATAAGCTGTTTAATGTTATGCTGTGGAACATTCCAGGCAGAGCAATGCCATATCCATAGAAACAAGCAGATTACAGACCCCCAACCAAAAAGTTACATAATGCACCTTTAACTCTAGCCAGAAAAGTTCCACATTACACCTTTAACCCTGGTCTTCTGTTGTGTGCAGGAGTCGGGCCGGGAGACACCTCTGAACACACAGCCGTCCAGCATCAACGGCACAGACGATGAAAAGATCTCCCACGTGGGACCAGAGGCCGCAGTGCTCAAGACCGAAAACGAACGTCTCAAGAGTGCCGTGGAGCAGAGGTACCACGCTCCTGTCTGACATTTATGTGGAGACAAAATTGAGTGTATTTATACTACGTGTTTGTTTATTGAAGTGCTTAAATATGCTGTGTACACTGCATCAAACCTTTGGTGCATTTTCTCTGTTTTTCATTTATTTTTGTCTTAGTTTCAGCTCAATATATTATTCTAATTGCCAAAAAGGGACAGTCTGCTTCTAAGCTTCAAAAGGTTAACTCATCAAATTATAATCATGATAATAGCAGGGTTCATTTCTCAATTATTAACAGAATTTTGTCCACTGTGGTTTTATGAGCAAAGTTTGACTTTTTCTTTTTAATGGCAATCTTAAAACTCTGTCTTGTTTATGTTCAGAATTTAATATTGGCAGCTTAAATACCTATGACAGGAAGGACTACTCATTTCACTAAAGCACAGATAAGATCATTACCTGTATATTTTTTCTCCCAGTTTAGCAATTCTTCAGGTTTCAAATTTTATTTCCTCCTGATATCACACCAGGGACTAGCAACAATAATGAACACTGGTCCAAAATCCTCTAATGTACACAGAAATAAGAGACACATAATAATAAAAACACAAAAAAAAAAAAAAAAAAAAAAAAAAATATATATATATATATATATATATATATATATATATATAAAAACACCTTTATTTTGTTGAAATCATGTTTAAAGCATCAGAAAAATTTGTTTTGTAAGTATAAATTGTGCTGAACTCTAAAACAGAACACTCTGTAATTTTCAACATATTTTTCTACTTTTCTTCACAAATTGCTTCTCGATTGGCAAAAATAAAAAAATATAAGTTATGTTTACTACAAGTGTTATCCCACCAAATTAAATCAAAATTATACAATTATCAAAACCTGTCACACGCACTTTTATGTACTGTAATATAATGACTCTTACAGTAATTGCTTTGTTTAGTTGTCCAATTGTTATAATCCGGATTCTGCGCTGGCTGGATCCTAATGTAATGATCAGACAGATGTGGGTCCAGATGTGTTACTAATCTCCACAGTGTTCACGTCAAATCCACTTAGACTCAACACTAGGTGGGTTTTCAAGTGTGCTGCAATTAACTGATTTTAACTGTAATGAGACCTACATAAAACAACATCTGTTTCCAACACGGGGGTGTCTGTAATAAAATGACATGCGGGTGATAAATGACATGCTAATATATCATGGACTTTAGCTGTTACACAAATAATGCGACTGAAATAACTGGCTTAGGGTAGGATAGGTTGAGAGTACTGCCACAAAAAGACAAAGATTTTTTATTACACCTTTATAATTTTTTTCATTTTTTATTTTGGCATTTAATTTAACATTTTTGTTAACCATTATAGAAGTAAAGCACTATGGGAATAAACGGCCATAAAAAAGACATTCCTCTCACATGAAATTTAACTTATCATTTTGTCATATTAAAAGCATGCCAAAAGTGATCTAGAGTTCATGTGTATGGTGATCTAAAATATATATATTTTCCATTAAAAACAAATTAATATGGCTTTAGAATTTGTGGTTCATAATGTAGATGCAGATTTAGTCAGTGTCTTACATTTTCATAGCCAGACTGGTGACAACTAGTGCCCCCGCTCAATTTCGTTTATCTTCAGTGGCTAGGTCAGGAATCAGAATACACTAGACGGTTTGCAAAAATCCCGGAAGTTGTAGACCGAGCACCGGCCAATCAGTGAAGAGCTGTGAAGCCATGACTGGGTCCCTTTTTGTGGTACAGCACAACAGAAAACAAAGTGGATGTAGACGAAGCCATACATTCTGTGTTGGCAACGATTCCCGAGATTGAGGATTTAAAACCGGAATAAAGAGAATGTTTGGTGAATTTGATCAAGAGGAAAGACGTTATTGCCCTTCTTCCTACAGGATTTGGGAAAAGCTTAATATACCAGTTAGCCCCTTTAGTGGCGCATTACATACGTCACGACCCAATAGCAGCGATTGGTTAAATTTAAAAAAGTACCCGCCAGCCATCAAGTGAACGTATCCTAATGCTGGTTTCCATGAAGTGATACTGGCTGATAAATCAGGCTTTCACATTCACACCCACAGAAAAAATAAATAAATACAAATTGTATTGCTCCAAAATCACAACTCCTCTCAAACCACAGCTGGTACCACCACAGGTTTGTAATGATCAGACAGTCAAAAAACCCAGTCCCATCATCACAATCTGCTAACAATTTGATCACAATTCAGCCAAAATCAAAGAAAATTGCAAACATTCCTTTTGAAGAAATTTTCTCAAACCTGAAAGTCCTTGAGTCGGCACATCTTGATAAAGCCACTCTTTTTCTTAGGCTATTTTGAGAAGAACCACTCTAACACCACTGCACTAGTTTTAACTGCATTTGTAGGTGCAAGGCCTGAGCGAGTCCATCAAGATGAACATAATAAATTGGTTGAGAAGTGACCCTTACCAAAGTCAGTCTCTCTCCACTGAATGCTCAGAAAACCCTGCAGAGTAGCACTGTTCAGATCAGCCATGCATAAAGTACAGCGCATACGAAATGTGAAACTCCACAACCCTAACGAGACATGACAGATCCAAGGTAAACTGTTTTCTCAAATCAAACCAGTTGTGGTGACTCCTCCTGACAAAGTGACATGTGCACTCAAACTAATGAAATAGTAACAACTACAGACTTTTTATATCTCTGTGTGAAGTTTATAGGATTCCAACACCATTATGTCAAAAGGGTCAGACATTAATCCCATAAGACAAGACATGAGAAGTGTACATGATTTATATTATCTAGTGGATGGTCTGCTGCCTGTTTGTCTCCATGGAAATGTTATTGCTTTGTCTAGAATGTTCCACAGTATAGATTAAATAGAGCAATCACGAGGGAGATGAGCAGGTTACAGCACTATGCTACATTAATATTCAGATCTGTGGAGATTCGCTCCTATTCACAGAAGGAATTATTGTATTTATGAGCAACAGAAACACCCGTAATGAATAAATGCTAGATGAATATGTTTGAAGTCATACCATGGAACAGGCAAAGCAATAACATCTCCATGGAGATAAGTAGGTAGAGGAAAACCAGAAAAGTTGCACAGTGCACTTTTAAACATGAACATTGTACAACATTTAAATTAATTATTTTCTGTAAAAGCTGCACACATTGGAGTTATGCAGAATTAATATTTTGATCATTGGACACTTCATATGTACTTTTTATACATTTTATTTCACTGTAAATTATTATGTTATCATAATAATAATCATTCAGGTCTGGTCTAATGAATGTAACTGTGATGTAGCCTTGTGGTAAATATTATACAATAAAAAATAATATATACATAATAGTGTACCACAAAAAATCTTAGACTTAGAAACCTCAAACTGCACAAGGGAAATGACTTGGACACTGCAAAATTCAAATAACAAAATAAGTGAAGCAGCAACACTGGTGAAAGTCGAATAAGGCACAAATTAGTATAATGGCTCTTGCAAGATATCCTGTCCCATTAAAGTCTGCTTTCATTAAAAGATTCTGTATTTCTCCCAACTCAGGGACACTGTAACAGCAAAGTACTAGAACAGCAATAATAGAATAACCAAAGAAATGTCTGCAGTGTTCAAAATAAAGGATTAAATAAAAAAAACTAAAACAAACATATGCACTTTTCTGTAGGTGTCCAGTAAAAAACTAGACACCAAGCAAGCACATACATTGCATATCCAAATAGTAATGATAATGCCATTTAACATAAATATAAACTAAATTTAAAACTCCTCTTTCTCTCTTGCAGCAACACAAATGCCAAGAAGTGGGAGACGGAGCTTCAGACTCTGAGGGAGAATAATGCTCGGCTGGTGGACGCCCTTCAGGAGTCCTCCGCCAACGTGGAGAGCTGGAAGAAACAACTGGCCACCTGCAAAGAGGAGAGTGACGCACTGAGAAGCAAGGTGAAGAGGGGGGGGGGGTTATGTTAAAGAGGGAAAAAATTAACAGAAAATAGTTATTTTTTAGTTTAAAGGGCCATATTACACTGTGAATTAGTATATGCCCCTTTACCGATATCTTATTTTATTTTATTTTATTTTATTTTTTGCAACTTTCTCACTCTTAGCCATTTCAGAACAACAACTTTAAATGTTAGACAAAGAAAAGTCACAAGTAAACATAAAAGGCTGTTTTAAGTGCCGATTTTATTAATTAAGGAAAAAAAGCCATGGCCCATGTGAAAAATTTATTGCCCCCTAAACCTAATAACTGGTTGAACCGCCCTTAGCAGCAACAACTGCAGTCAAGTGTTTGTGATAACTGGCAATGAGTCTTTCACATCACTGTGGAGGAATTTTGGCCCATTCTTCTTTGCAGAATTGTTTTAAATCAGCTACAATGGAGAGTTTTCGAGTTTTTGAGCATGTACCGCCTTTTGAAAGTCATGCCACAGCAACTTTGACTAGGCCAATCCAAAACCCTCATTTTATTTTATTTTTTTTAAGCCATTGAGAAGTAGACTTACTGCTGTGCTTTAGATTATTGTCCTGCTGCAAAACCCAAGCGTGCTTCAGCTTGAGGTCATGAACTGATACCCGGACATTTTCTTTCAGGACTTGCTGGTAGAGAGCAAAGTTCATGGTTCCTTCAATCACAGCAAGTTGTCCAGGCCCTGAAGCAGCAAAACCTCAAACCATGACACCACCACCGCTACCACTTTTCACTGTTGCCATCATGTTCTTTTTATCAAATGCTGTGTTCATTTTACGCCACATGTAATGGGATCCACTCCTTCCAGAAAGTTCAATTTTTGTTTCGTCACTCCACAGAATATTTTCCCAAAAGCTTTGGCGATCATCAAGATGTTTTTTGGCAAAAGTGAGACGAGCCTTTATGTTTCTTTTTTTTTTTTGTCAACAGAGGCTTTCACCTTGGAACTCTGCCATGTACGCCATTTCTGCCTAGTCTCTTTCTTATGGTTGAGTCATGAACACTGACCTTTACTGAGGCAAGTGAAGCCTGCAGTTGTTTAGATGTTGTTCTCAGTTTCTTTGTGACCTCTTGGATCTGTCGTCGCTGTGCTCTTAGGGTAATTTTTGTAGGCCAGCCACTCCTTGGAAGGTTCACCACTGTATCATGCTGTCTACATTTGTGGATAATGGCTCTCACCGTGGTTCGCTGGAGTCTCAAAGATTTAGAAATGGCTTTGTAACCTTTTCCAAACCTTTTTCCAAACTGAGACACATGGCCGCAGGAAGTGGGGGTCCTGCAGCACCGCCTCATGGTGAGAGGGAGATTTTTTGTTTTTATCTATTAAAATATTTTGCACAATTTATAAATTCTTTATGAATATTTTGGGTAGTAATTTTGACACATGCAGGCTATTGTGTGTATTTAGGTTTTAATGCAATTATTTTTAGGCCTAAACATGCAGGTTTACAGAATTTACGTTGTCAACATTGGGTTTCCTGCTTGCTAGCTAGCTAGTTTCAAAATTACTTTTCATGTCAATTACTTTTCTTCTTATCTGCTCCTGAATTTCTTTAGATCGCGGCATGATGTCTTGGGTTCAATATGGCCTACTTCACCTTGTCAGACAGGTTCTTTTTAAGTGATCTTTTGATTTGAAAGGTCTGGCAGTAATCAGGCCTGGGTCTGGCTATGAAATTGAACTTGGCTTTCCACGATAATATGACTAATCACAGTTACCTCATTATTTAACACGGGGGACAGTTACTTTTTCACACAGGAGCATGTAGGTTTGGATAGTACTTTTCTTTTAACAAATAAAAAAAATGTTTACTTGGGTTATCTTAGTTTAATATTTAAATTAGTTTGATGATCTGAAACAGTTAAGTGCGACACACATGCAAGAAATTAAAACTCACAAAGGGGGAAAATACTTTTTCACAGCACTGCATGTTATAATGTTGAAGAATCCACGTTGTGTAATATAGGACCTTTAAAGATGCAGTGGTCCAAACTTATTACCGACTTACCTTATACATTCTGAATATCCTAATTAGTCACTGTGATGAGTTATCAGTTCAAAGTTTTGCTGTGATGGTAAAGATAAAAAAACAAAACAAAACAGGCTAATTGTGCACTTCCTGATTATCAGTCAATAAAACATTTTCTAATTAGGTATAGATAGCATACAGTGGACTTATTTTGATGTCAAGGGCTCCTAATACAATATATCTGTACTGGGGCAAGACAAATTGTGCTTAGGTACATGGGGAATGAAATCGGGCCCAAAGCCAATATGTACAAATGACCAACATATTGATCACTGGCCTAATTAACTGGATTATTACCCGGGTATTGGCATTAAAATGGCTCTGGTGACATAAAGCAGCATTAAAGAAGATAGAAAATATTTAAATCACGTTACAATGGTGTTCCTTTAAGATACTATTTAGAATTTTTCATCCATGTTTGAGTAATCCTTTAAGGCTTGACTGCTCAGAAAATTGCCTACTCCCATCCTCACCCACTGCTCTGTATTTATTTCTGATTATTTAGCAGTTCTGCATTTTTTAACAAAACGTTAAGCAAACTGTTTCTATTATTAAACTCTTTTAGATTATTACTGTGGTTTATATTTAACAAAATGTAAAATAATACCCAGAAAAATCATATGTCCGATTACTAAAAACTAAAAAGGATCATTTTAATTCTAATAATAAAAGAGTTTCTGCAGCTTCAGTATATTCCCACACAGTGAAATGTGACAGGCCCACAGTAGTAATTACTGCACCTATAGCATAATTAATGTTTTGGACAAATTGAATAGGCAGAAAAGAAGGCAGATACCGGATTTGTACTGTGAATAGCTGACCCATAATTACACCTAAATATTCCCCAGAAACGAAACTTCGAAAAAATTTCTTGTACGTCATTAAATTAGAAACTAAAAACTTATATTTAATCTTCTAGTAACATCCTGTGGGCAAATTGTAGTCAACAGTCACATACTTTTTCAAGGCTGTTCTTTGAAAGCTTGTTCAAAAAACGAACAGAAAAACTGTCTTGTCTGGCTGCATTCTTTCATCATTCTTTCCCAAAATTCAAATGTAGCCTCTTTCACTAATACACCATTTAATCTCATCCCACCTGCCAGCCAGACTCTTTTGCATGGTAGTCCTTAATATAGCAAAAAGGCAAGGTAACAAATCCACCATTTAAAATCCTGTCTCAATGAAGTCTGCACACTTGTCCAGGATTAATCTGGTGTGTGAGCGTGGGTGGTGGTCGTAGAGGCTGATGGCACAGATTTGCAGCCATGCTTCTGTCAGTCCACCCCAGGGCAGCTGTGGCTGTGGCTAGATTTTTTAGATTTTCTAAACACCACAGAGTATCCACGGGTTTCAGAATGATAAAACATTAGAACTGTTACTGTTGTGATTAACAACTTAAAACTAAATATTATACCTTGAATGGTCAACTTGTACGTATGGTCCAAGAGATTTTTTTTTGGATCGCCTTATCACGATCTGCATGTAGTTCTGCAATATACAGTTCTGACACTGATTTGTGTGTTGCACTCTCTTCCTGCACCCCGGACTGGAACACTCTACAAAAATGCAGACAGGCCCAACTATCTCATTAGAAATGTTTAAATGTTAAGACATGTTTTGCATAATTTCTAATCTTTTTGGAGTTATTTTATTGACAATTTTGTTTGTATTGCCGGTTCAATTGAATATTGAAAAGAAAAAGAAATGGGCTATATCCAAATATCCATATATATCCATTCCAAATAGGCAACTTATGACTCCCTTTTTTTGCTGGTTCAATTACTGTTTTTCATTGTTTAAAACTAGAGTAATACTAATTGTTCAGAGAGACTAGATCACTCAGTCAATAATGGTCAAATTCCACCTTTATTTTGCGATTTACAAATAATGTTTGTTGTCGCAAAGGTTGGTGGCTTTTAAAATATGGGTCCCCAGAAAAAAAAAATTGGGAAACACTGCCATAGACTGTGTAAATGGACATAAATGGACATAACTAACTTGGGAGCATGGGGGCTCTTCTGACTTTATCGACTCCAACTGACTTTACATTAAGAAACTGTCGCCCCTCTCTCTGTAACTGCTGCTGTCAGACTCCTCATTTTGGTTTTAAGATGTGTTTTTTTTGTGGTGTTTTTTGCTATTTTGTCCTTAAAATAATTCTTAAATTTGCCCCATAACTGCTGGCCTCTGTGAGCTTCATTTGACTTTGGGTGACGTCACACTCACATAGTCCACTTCTTTATACAGTCTGTGGTCTGGACAAGTTCTGTATAAGACTATGCATCCTCATTGTTATTTCACATACTGACAGTGTTGTAAATAAACTAGTATTATTTTACCTATTCATGTCCTACCTCTTGTTCCTGTGTGGTGTTTTTGCAGATTGCTGAACTGGAGGCTCAGTGCAATGAAGCCAATCAGGAGAAGCAGAAGAACGCCCAGCTGAGCGCCAGAGTGCAGGAGCTGGAGACAGAGCTGCAGGACAAAGAGACGGTGAGTCATAAAGTACAGGGGTACAAAGTCTGTACAAAAAGTCTGCACTTTGTTTAACTTTTATATAATTATCTAACTCAAACCTTAAATTAGAATAGGTACAAATGTCTCTAGGGTCGGGTATCGCCAAGTACAATACGATACATGTCCTGATTTATTTAAAACCAGTGTTAGAGTGACTAAAATTTTGTAAATTTACCAAAGTTACTAAAATTTATGTTTTGATTATCTATGATGACAAAATGCATCAGAATTTCATGTTCAAAATGCACCTAAATGTGCACTGTGTAACTTTAGGATAGTCTGTTGCCTCCTTGCCTCTATGGAGATGTTATTGTTTTGTCCAGAATGCTCCACAGTTTTGCATTAAACATACAGTGTCTATCTCCATGGAGACAAAAAAGTAACATCACAAAGCCGAGTTACATGTCAGATCTGTGGAGAGACGACCCTGTTCATGCTTTTTAAGCAATAAAAACAAAGGCAATTGAATAAATGCAAGATAAATACTGTATGTTTAATGTTAATGCTACTGTGGAACATTTCAGGCAAAGCTTTAAAATATCCATGGAAAAAAATCTGAAAAACACCAGAAAAGTTAAACAATGCTGTTAATTTAAGATACATATTTTTAAGATAAATTTTTATTTGAATGAATAAGAACACATCAATTTCTTGAAAGGGGTGCGTTGGAGGAGAGGGAGCAGTCCAACTCCAACAATAGTATTTACAGAAAAAAATCACGTACATCGCCTTTCTTGCATTTGCAATTGTGAATTTAATTTGGACATCAGGGACGTTTTGGTGCTGGGCCTTCATCAGGCAAAAAGATACATTTTGACAAAGTTTGTCCAAAAGTTGTTGGTGGTTGGGATATTGTTGTGTAATGTATAATTTTCAGTCAAGAGCAACTGACCAAATAATTACAATCATGCACCACTGGCCTCTCTGAACAGCACACACGCACACACACCTCGCATTTACATGAGGCAAGGTGTGTAAATGTCTTGCCTAAGGACACAACAACAGTATACAGTAAAGCCCAAATGTGTCCAACTGAGACAAAATAACACACTTCCTCTGTTTAACCAAAACCAAACATACAAAACCTGATAATTTATTTGCTATTCTTGGGTTTCCTGCTTTATGATGCCATTTTGATGACTATATTTTCCATTGCTATAGTAACAGCTTGAACTTCCCATTGTTTGGAAACCCATATATAGCCGTGTAGGGTGTATAGATTCTAAATAACAATAGCTGAGGGCCATTGTCGATCTTGTTTCATTTTTCTCTGCAGCGTTGTCTGGATTTTACTGTTTTAAAAAGTGATGATTCAGGGCCATCCCTTAAAGAAATCTAATTCAGTCTCTCATTCGTCATGGTCTGAAGTTACTGATCAAATCTCGGACAGGGCATCTGGGCTTTACCCCCATGTCTCACAGGAAGCTCTTATAGCTCATGATACTTTCACTGCACTGTACCAGAGTTCTGGAGTATAAGTATAACTCGACTTTGTGCTTGTCCTTCAGAAGTGGGCCTTTCTATTGCATATACTGTACTATCATAATTATTATTGTGTAGTTTGTGTTTTTGTGTCCATGCAAGTTAATTTGCCAAACCATTTCACTAGGGCAGCATGATTTAGGAAAAATATAAAATAGTGTTTTTTCTGAAGTATTGCAGTTACATTTGTATGTTTTTAATAGTGGATTCTGTTCAAAGTTCACATTTTAAACCAGATGAATTGACAAAAAGGCTGAACAATATAACAAACTAATACATAAATTCACATTTCAGAACAAGAATATGCAGAATAAGACAGGATATTTAATTGTTTGTGGAGGAAATTATGGTACTTTGCGATTTACGTCTATTTACTTTTGGATAATTGTTCATTTTCTTCCTATCTTCTCCTCACATTATGCAATAAAATTAAGTTAACTGGATTTAATTGGATCAAAAAGGGATTGCGTCATAGCTTTACAACATTAAACAGATTTGTCTTTGGAAAATGGTGAGTAAATTGCCAATTAACTGCTGATTAAATTAAATGGCAATTGTAAATTAACTCAACACACACATACTATAAAAGGAAAAACAGAAGCCAATTCTATTTATTTTAACCAATCACCAATGGTTCAATCGCTTCTTATCTATGCAGAAGAGTGGATTTCTAAACTTTTATTAGAAGTCTTGTTCTATTTACTATACTGTTTTCTCTGCAGCAGGTTTTAGCACAAATGCAATTATCTCAATTTCGCTAAGTCTGCTGTATTACAATATGGTGCAGACAACGCGCCAGTGCAGTGTAAACAGTCTGCTCTTCTCTAATGAGGATGAGTGCCGTCAATGCTCTGTAATACTGTTTAATACTGTTTTACATGATTAGCCACATGACCCACGCCTCTGCAGCATGGATACAAACTAAACTAATAATTACATCACTCTTTAATCTTTTATAATAACAGTTTAGGAACACCAACTCCTACATAAATGTAAATAAAATAATAGGCAACTTGTTTTGGTGATCAAGCTCGAGTCTAGACTTGGTTTAGGCCTGTTCTAGTCCTGATTTAGTCATGGTCTAGTCCAGTTTTTTTTTTTTTTTTTTTATTAATCTATTAAAGACAACAGAATATAACATTTATATTTCCAAATGCACCAACACAAATTTAGTTAAATAAAACAAAAGTAATGTGGTAGTGCAGCATAAACACACCGCTAGTCCCCCTTACATTGATATTTTGGCCAATTTATAATATCAATGCCTTTTCTTGGTCTCTTCCATTTTTTAATAAACATTTTTTGTCACTATACTTAACTAGTATTATTTTCACAATCATCATTTCCTTTCATCATCTTTTACTATTTATTACAACCTCAAAGCATAATTTTAAAGGCATTTCCTTTCTAGCAGTCTTAACATACAATGATTACAAAATGTTATCAATAACACTTTTTAATAACTACCTTAAAGGGCCCATAGTATGCTATTTTCTGATCTATGTTATAATGTTGTTTCCTCATCAAAAACAGACCTGGAGCTGTGTTTTGTTTCATTCACACATGTTTAACACACAAACCCTGCATATTTACTCTGAGTTTTTATCTCACTTCTTTTGTAATATTGAGGTTTTGATAGATTTAATGTTAGAAATACTGTTTAGTGTTTGAAGATCATTTTTTATGTCGAGGATATTGATTTTAAAAAGGGAGAATTTGGATTTATGGAAATTAAATTTTCCCAACAGAAGGCACTGGTTTACCAAATATTAAATGTTATATTGTTTATGATGGAAGTAGGTTATTATACTTGAGCAGTACAACTTAATTCTGATGGATGTTTTTTGTAGGATAAGTGTTTCTAAATTTGACCAGAGTTCCTTTGAGTATTTACAATAATAAAAGAGATGGCGGATGGTTTCTTCTTCACTATGGCTAAAGGTGCAATACGTTTCAGTTTCCTTGAATTTGGCTATAAGTAAATTGGTAGGGTAGATTTTGTGAATTATTTTCCAATGTTGTTGTAGTAGATGTTCTCTCAAACACTATTGCACTTTGTGATGTCATGTGGTAACACAGGAAGTGCTTCCCTGTGTTTTTAAACTCCATACACCTTCACTAGATCATTTGCATTTTTAATTTCAGCACTATAATTGCCATTCTATACTTAACTAAAGGTGGAACAGAGCACTTTAGAAATGTAGACAAAATAAACCAGGATTACTCAAATATGTATGAATGAACAAAACGCAAATCAAAATTTTTTTGATGAGTTAACAACTTTCTAACATGGCTCAAAGCTCACAAGAGTCAATTTTGTGTAGTATTGTACCTTTAAGTAGTTCCTATGCCTGAATCATTCATCTGTTCATTATGAATTAAGTCTTTGTCCATGCTTTATTGCAGCTAATTAAAGTTTTTATATTGTGTGACCAGGTTATCCAAGAACAGCTATAGATTTTTCCCTGTAGACATTTTCCCATATAGTATTCATCTAAAAATAACCTAATTGCTGCTATTGAAAGTGGCCTGTATTGCTGCAGTGTGAAATATCGACCGGTTCCATAAAGATCGTCGTCGTCAGGATTTGGCTCCAAGCGGCGTCATTAAAGAGCTGATAAATCTTACGAACGAAACAAGTGTGTGAGGCAATAAAAGAGATTATAATGCCGTTCGAAACCAAGCCTGCAATTATAAAGATTAATGCGTGATAAAAAACTAGTATTACAAGTGAAATTTGCATATTTTAGCTTTACAATTATTGTGAGAAAAAAGAAGTGATGATGTTAATTTTCTGTTTATCTTCATTTACACACAGGCTTGAAACGTCATTGTTAAGTTTCTGAATGTTAAGTTATCATTCATAAACTTTATAGATTATCTACTAGGGATGTAACAATAACCGAAATACTGTGATATTGTCAAAAGTCTCACAATAATATCGTGGGCTGTTACAATATATTGCATTACAAGTTTCTTTGCTTAAATGCATGGTTTTATAGTAGCAGCAGCTTATAATCACAGGGAACGACATATCCCATGATTCATTTCAGTGCAGACAGCATGAAGAGATATGTTTTTTACTTGAATTCTTGAATTATGATGGAAATAATTCACACCAAAATCTTGTCAAGGTATTCTAAAAGCAAAACAGTATCATATCAACAATTATATAAGCCTCTTTAAAATATTGCAATAAATATCGTACCGTGAGATGCATATCGTGATAATATCATACCCAAAGATTTGGATATTGTTACATTCCTATAATCTACTATAAAAGCCAAATAAAAAGCCTGAATGACTTAGTTTTGCTTACTAGTACAATTTTTTTATCTTTATAATTTTATTGGGACCTGAATAATTATGATTATTTATTAACTGGATAATCTTAAGTACTGATAGTTGATTGGTTTGGCACATGACAGACACTCATTGAATACTGTCTATGCCTTTTCCTTTCCTTAGTTAAGCGTTTGAGTATCGATTGAAGTATCAACAATCATTATTTATAAAGTTGACACAAATTTAAACCAAAAATGTACACAATTTAGGAGAGATGTAATGATATTCAGATCTCTCGATACATTATTTTCACATTATACATCCCACGGTATGATATTTAATGTGATATTTTGTAGATGCTTACAAAAATGTGAAAATTACTTTTGTTTCAAGACTTTTGTTCTGTCATAAACCAAAGAATTAAGATTTAAATGTGCTTACAAATTATGATTCTTATTATTATTTTTATTACTTTTCATGTAGTCTGTACTGTAATGGAGCAAAGGATCATGGTATATGTAGTTCACTCTGCTTTTTTTAGCTATTACTGCACTAAAAAATAAATTTTATGTAAAGAGACTTGTGATTCCATATATTGTGACAGCTCACGGTATTATTATGAGACTTTTCTCTACAATTTAGTATCAGTTAGCGTTGGAGTTTTGATAGTTTTGATAACCATTCTTATGAAAGCAGAAAGAATGAGTGGAACAACAATCAAAACAACTCTTTGTACACATAATTGCTCTAGAAAAGCTCCTTGGACATTTCATTCTTGTCCGTCTTCTTCTTCTTCTTCACATAACGCTCCAAACACTGACCCAGAGCTGTGAAAAGAAGTGGGCCATGACACCTTCAGTGACTCACTTCCTCCAAGAATCTGCAAACAACTCAAGTGTTACTGAGGCTGAACTGCGGACCATGACGACCACTAGCCAACATTACAGACTATTTTATTGTTGTATTTTAAGTGATACAAATCTTAAAATGTGTGAAAAATAAATAGACCTGCCAAGTATGTCATATTCTCTAATCGGATATAGTAACACCAAATAAAACAGCTGATATTAAGTTGTGTCTGCCAGTGTGTTGGCAGATTATACAAGTTTAATGCCATATTGTTTAACATTTCAGCCAAAGCAATAACTTCTCCATAACCAGGTGACTTACCCTCCTCCCAAAAGGTTACACAGTGCACCTTTAATACCGTATTTTAACACATAAAAAATGCTAGAATGTGATTTAGAATATACCCAATATGTTCAGTTATTGTAAAGGGCAGCAGCAGGATGGTCATTTAAGTGTTTAAATGGGCTCTTATCCAACTCACACTGTTTTTGTGTCCTTGGGCAAGATGCTTCACGCATTATGTATGTAAATGTTACGCAGCGTCTGTCCCAGAGGAGCTGTGTTGATCAGAAGTACTATTTTACCACATTGAATATAGAGAGTGAGTGAATAACACATTAAATTTATGTCTATAAAACTGTAACACACATTTCTATTATTATTTTCACTGCTACATAATGATCTTGTTTGTGTTTTTGTATTTCAGGAGCTGGAAAACCTGAGGAAACAGGCGGAGATCATCCCACAGCTGATGGGCGAGTGTGAGAGCATCACCACAAAACTACAGGTGAAACAACACAACACAAACACAAATCTTTGTTTTGCTCTGATGTTAGAGGTTAGAGGATGGATCAAGGATGTTTTTCCATTCAAAAGGCATAATATTTTGTTTTGTTTGTTGTTGTTAATCGCTATAGCAACTGTTTTATCATTCAGAAACGCATGGGTAATTGTTGTTTTGAAGAAATGCAAAGTTAAATGATCAAGTTATACAGTATATTATGGCTAGATTTCAGCAATTTTATGATCCATTTACATTTTATGCCAAACTTTAACCTCAACTTAAACCGTAAACAGGCACATTTTACCACATTTCTGATGCATTGAGAAAATATTGTCTTAATATCTTTATTGGGATAATGCAAAAAAAAAAAAAAAAAAGAGAGAGAGAGAGTTTTTTTGTTATATCTAACGTCTTATCTAACGTCTCAGCACATATTCATGGGTTGAGAATGATGGCACAAGGGCTGCTGCCATAGCGATTAACAACTCAAAACCAAATATTATGTCTAAAAAAAATCCTCAAAATGTCGCATACATACACTGTACACACAAGCTGGACCCCACGTATACCACGGTCACGAGTCCCCGCGCACACGTGACTGATTCTGCTCTGACTCCTCTGAAGTAACCACGGCGACCCCTGCCTCCTCCTCTCGCTGCTCTGACGCGGCGACAACACATGTTTCTGCTGCCTTCACATGCTATGGAAAAAAGGAGCTCATTTATGTATTTATTTTAAAGACGCCATAGACGATAATCATTACTGGAGATATAACAATGAGGAGACAATGATGTTTTTATTGTATTTATTTAATGGGATAGAGAAAGTGCACAGTATATATTAACCTTAAAGAGATTGGTCTGGATTCTTTCATGTAATAAAATGATATGGCCCCCAGTACATACATATACGTAATTATGAAAAGAGCTCTTAGGGTCAAATGAGACCACTGTGTGTTGTCTGCAGCTAATTATAAAGCATTTTTATCTTATCCAAACCAGGAGGTAAGGCTGGTGCGCTGTCAACACTCTGGTTGTTGTTGGCATTACCATAATGGCCTTTGAAAGTTGAGAAAAATCCCTATATAAAACTCATCGCAGTGAATAATTAAGATGCTAGGATGTGTTAGAAATGTGAGGAATACACTGAGACTGCTGAAGGTATTTTTAAATTAACTAGTTTTTCACGTTTTTAAGACAATAAAACTCATGAAAGAGCGAGAAGAGGAGACATAGATTGTACCAAGTTGTAGTACAAATGCTAACAAGTGTGATGTAACAATTCAGAAAATCAAACACTGAAGGGAGAATGACTCAATAACCAGTCTATTATAACACATTGGTGGTAGATATCATGATTGAAAAAAATATAATAGTAAGTCTTACTGCAAATGATGGGTATGGGTGATCAGATTTTCAAAATAATAATGGTAATAATAAAATTGTGAAACGAGTGCATAATTAAGGAAAATTGTTATCCACTCGGAGCTAATGTGAGTCAGTATAGTCACATTTTCTTTGTGTTTTTGTCATTTTTCAGCAGCTTTTCTGTATTTTACCTAAACAAATGAAAATATATGCCTCTCTTTACTGTTGGCAGGTGTCAGACTGCTCAAAAACAGGGACACCTGGGATATTTCTTGTATAAAACTGGGACAAATCACCAGTTTCAGATAAATCTGCTGGGACAGGGGACACCGGGGTCAAAAACTGCGACTGTCCTGGGTAAATAGGGAAGTCTGGTCACCCTACCCTCGGGGTGTGATGCTAACTTGAGGCTCTGCTCTGTTTTAGACTCTGTAACTCAAGATAGACTTTAATGTGAGGTTTATTTTAACACAATCTGACCAGAAAGAGCTGACTTAGTTGGAACAACTATAACTATAACAATAATATGTGAGCTGATTTGTGCTCTTAAACAAGTCTTTCACTCATAAAATTACTACCAACAGTTCTTCAGTAAGTCTTTTTTTTCTTGAGTTTTCAAACCATCTTAACACTTTTTAGAGAGATTTTTGCTAATCTGTGCATTGTGTCTCCATGGTGACTTCTAAACATTCCACCACAGAGATACATGTAGAACACCCCCAGCATAATGTCACACAATCATACTGTGAGATAAAGTAAGCAATAACATGTCCATGCTGACAAAGCGCTGGCTGACCCTCCTCTATAAAAGTTACGTAGTGCATCTTTTAAGTATAGCTCACATGGCAGCATCACAACAGCATCACGTGCCTTCTCATTGTGCAAACTCTGCCTCCTAATAAAGAGGGTCCCTGTGCGGCCGTGTGCAGCTTATTGCCTCTTTGAAAAGGTATTCTCTGCGTCAGCCAATAGGAATGCAGCAAAGAACCAGCTCTGTGTCCAGGCTTATTAGTGCAGCGATGCTTGTGATGATAAAAGCTCTTTCAGGGAGAGGAGCACAAATAAATGCACACATCGCCCACAGTGTGTAGGCTAATATAAAACACGAGTGAAATCTGAAAGAAAGAAATGCCTTGGGTCTCAATTTGGATTGTATGATTTTTGTTATATAATGTTTTCTCTCACTAGGAAGCTTTATTTTCAGTTTTAGTGTTGCTTAATTAGAAGAACTGAGTTATAAACTACGCTTCAGAAATAAATAGCCTATAATTTTATTTTACATTTCTTTTTTATAAATCTTTTTTTTTTTTTTTTTTTCAAAATTTTCAGATTGCCTGTGATATCCGGCTTAATTCGTAAATAAAAAAATTAAATTTAAATGTATACTTTTCCTATGAAGAGGAGACCCTAGTGCAACATCCACAAAACTCAGAGTCCCAAGATCTAGAATGAATCGTTTTAAAAGGAGCTTCGTTCCAGCTGCTATCATACTTTTGAATAAATAGTAATCTATTTATCTGTCAATTTTAGGATGTTGTCTTGAAAAATCTAGTTTTTAATATTTATTTAATATTTATTGTAATCTTAGCCAAGTGTGATTGATGAATTTATTGAATTGTTTATGGAACAAACCATTCTGCACTGGAGCACTGTAACACTTAATGTGGATGACTGAAATGTGGGACCAGCCTCTCAAATCTGCAAAACATATTTACCCACGGGTACGAATAAAGCAACCTAATCTAACTAACCTAACCTACCTTTGTAGCCAAATTTACCTTTTGGCTCCTTGCATTTATCACCATAAGCACATGCTATACCAAAATGATTACTTATAATATCAGTACATCAGGCAGTAAGTAAATTCATTGATATAACATAAAATAATTCAGAGTAGGATTGCCTGTGCCTGTGCATTTGCAGTGTAAATGTGTGCTAGCCCTGTTCCATTCTCTGTGTTTGTTTTTGTGCTGTTGAAGCTCTTCAGTTTAGAGACTGGACTCTGAATGGACCAGTTGGTGTTTGTATCACATCACGACTCACCACACACTTCACCAAAACTGTTCAATCTGCCATTTTACATAATCTTTGTCAAGTCAGAGAGAGATGGGCTTGTGTTATTTACTATGTCAATGTAAATATTTACAGCGATAGTATTTTTTTGACGTAGCTCTAATGAAACAGAGATGTTGAACAGGGTTGGGCCATATGACAAATCATGATCCGCTTCTGTTGTTTCAGGGCTTCTGTTATATGCGGCTCTCTTAAAAAGACAAATGTCATCAACTTTTCTTTATTTACATATTTTGGATAGGCCCTTCAGCATCCCCACCCACTTCTAACCACACCTTTAGTTACTTCTTAAAGCAATGAAAACATCCTATGTGCAGACGAATCATGACTCAGTTGAAATCATAATTGCAATATGTACGTTTTGCACCCTCCCCTGTTGTTAAAGGTGCATTACGTAATTTTTCAGATGAAGGGTCTGCTGCATCCTTGTCTCCACTGTTTGGCCTGGATTGTGCACAGTATGGAGACAAGCTGGACATGTCACAGGTCAGATCTGTGAGAGAGGCGAGCAGCAAGAAGTCAGAAGTTTCTCTAGATGTTTTTGTGCAATAAAACTGTAATTGTATGTTTAATGCTATACTGTGGAACATTCCAGTTACATTTATGTCACGACAGGCCAACCCAACCCACTTCCTTAATCTCGAACATAATGGTTTGACGCAAAATGAGTAGATACTTGTGTTACATAAAACACTGGTAATGATATTCTGCGGTTAAACTATGGCCATACGACTGTTCATTCACACCCTGCTCTTTTGTGAAAGTGATTTTAGCTTTCGTAAAAACCTGACGCTCCGGCTGCTGAGATGACTGTACTGTGTTTATGCCAGACTATGACAGCAGCATGTTATAGTGACGCTTGCCCATCTCTGTCTCTTTCTCTTTCTGTCTCTCTGCTCTCTATCTCTCGCTCCATCTTTGTCTCTGTCTCTGTGTATCTGTCTCTGCCTCTCTCTGTCTCCCTCTTCTTCTCTTTTTCCCTCCCTCCTGACTCACACAAGCTGCCACACACATGAGCCATCACCTAAACCACAACACAACAACAACAACACAAGTCAGGCTCAAATGTCTGAACTTAGGAGCGCTTTACCTTTTGTTCAGCAGAATAGGAGGTTTTGTAGAGGTGGAAAAGGCAGCTTAGATGAAATGTCAGAGGTGCTGTGAGGTTTAAGCCATGTTATGACACTCTTACCTCATCAAAAACTTACATAGAATTTTGTTTTCATTCACACATGTTTGAGTAATCCTTTATTATTAGTCTGTGTACATCTCCAAAGCTCAAAATGCCTTGGTTTAAGGTTTAAGTCCAGGCTTATTTCACTATTGTTATTAACTGGTTTAAGTATTTATTTGTATTTCTGCCATAAAGTTGGTGAGGGAGTTACATAATTGGGAAAATGGGACTATTGGTAACTTGGCAAACACAGTTGGTTGGCATCGGCTCACGTGGAGTATTGTACCAGCTTGTTTGTGCCAGTTAGAGCAGTGACTCATCTGATGTACCCTGAGTATTGTCTTTTGTATTTTAGTTGTTTTTGTAATGCTGCATTTTTTATCACTAAT